TCGAACTGAGGTGTTATTTGTTTCACAGTTGTCTTTGAAGAGCTCAGGGAACTAAAATATGTCTCCTTTAAAAGTTACAGCCACGTTGTCGTGCCATCTGTTCAGATTTGGCGGGACGATACAAGGCGACACAAGGGTGGGGGTAGAGTGTCTCTATTAGTCTGCATCGATTGCTGGATTAATTAAAGCTATCTGAGCTGTTATCCGTGTTTATTGAACTGGACGTAATGGGTTTAGTTCCAGACCGGGTATTTGTCCGCTCGGTCAGAAACGCTGCCGGGGGAAGCGAAAAACAAGGAACTCTGGAAGACATATGCTGCTTATCGCTGACGTAATTAAACCAACTAAGATGACAGTAAATTTAATGTGTCTTAACTAAGACCTCAAACAGTGCAGGAGAAGCTCAGGCTAAAAACATTTAGCTGCCGTTGGTGAGCTCTCAGGTTCCTGAACCTGCTCAAGGCACGTCGAGATGCTGAAGTCTTCTTCTGACGTTCCAAAGAGAGCAGCTATCGCCCAGAGCATCCTCGTAGCCGCGGTCACAGCAGGAGCGCTCGTATGATTTTAATTTGTTGCTCCAGCCTTTCTCGGCAGGCCTACTGTGAGAGCTGGGAGGTTAAAAAGTTCTTAAGAGAGATAAAACACAGGAGAGCAGCCAGGCTTGATAAGCGATGTATTTTATTTTCCAGCTTTGGAAGATAAAACCGCTTCAGAAACCTGGAGTCCTTTGTCCTTATCATGGTCTTGTTTGACTTCAGAGTGGGGAGAATGAGTTTAGTAAAGAAACTGGAGTTGTATTACAGAAACAGTCTAAACTCTGTCACAATAACATTACCAACTTCCAGTTCATCGCACTTTAGTTTGCTTTTTACATGGTAGCTGTCTGGGTATCTTTTTGTTTACATGTTTACATCACATCGCATATCAGTTGCTTGGTAACAGACATAACAGCTTGTTTGAGTAGGTTAGGATATCTTAAAGGTGCAGTATATGATTCTGGAGAACAATTGTTGATATTTGAACTCAACCCCTCCTTTCAGTGCTCCTTCAGAAGCTCCACCCCCAAGTTTACGGACGCTCATTACCAAGGCGAATGACACTGGGCTAGCAAACTTGTTTTTTTAGAGCTTTGTGACCATAAAACTCTTCACAAATGTTGTACAGACAACTGCCATGATGTGATGTCAGAGCGAACTACGACACAGCAAGTAATGTGACTAACGTTAGCTTGCCTGTGGCTTAGCAAATTGTCGCTACAATTGCTGCTGGAAAGCTAACCAGTTGCTACCACAAGCATTAGCCAATGGGACAAAACAATACTGACCTGCTGGTTCTGTGAAACAGCAAAAATAAGTTAACGTTGCCCACCTGCCAAGCAGAAACAGAGCAGCCTCCTCATCCCTTTTCAGGCCTTTCAACTCTCCATGAAGCTGAAGTCAGATTCTTTTTTGCCAGCTTCTTGAACTTTCCCGTTCTACCTTAAATGGTGCAGCAGTTACATTCAGCTGCCTCAGCTTCTTGTTTACATTTTCCAGTTCCACCTTCAATGGTGCAGCAGTTTGATTCAGCTGCTTAGCTTGTTTGGATTTTCCCATTCCACCTTAAATGGTGAAGCAGTAGGATTCACCTGCCTCAGCTTGTTTGGATTTTCCCATCCCACCTTAAATGGTGCAGCAGTTGCAATCAGCTGCCTCAGCTTCTTGTTTGAATTTTCCCGTTACACCTTAAATGGTGCAGCAGTTTGATTCAGCTGCCTCAGGTGCCAGAATGGAACTGCTGCATAATTTAAGGTGGAATGAGAAAATGCAAATAAGAATCAGCTTCGTCAATTTCCAGGGGTCTCTCCACCGCTGAAACACCTTCGACTGATTTAAGAACTTTCTTAATCTTTGTTCTTCAGATCTTCTCCTCTTCGGCTGTTTCTTGACCACCTTCCTTCCTGTGTGGAGTTTAGCATGTAGTCCCTCACACTCCCTCATCCTGTGCACAAGAACGAGCGCCCCCCGGTGCTGATTGGCTGGAATAGTGTTGTGTAACTCGTTCCAAACCACTTTGTTTTTTATGTCAGAGCAGATTTTTTTTTCTAGCCTGCCCAGAATGGAGAGCTAGCGGACTTGGAGGAGATTTTGAGGAGTGTTTTGGATTGAAATCGTATACTGTGCCTTTAAATTGAGATAAGATATAATTCCTGACATTAAGCTTAGATTTGCCTCTCTGATATGAATTCATGAACAATTCTAAACCATGTCAATGTGTCAAATCTTAGTGTAGGACTGAAGATTCTATAATGCAGCTCCTGAATTAGAAAACATGAACGCCGCTCTTCACTGAAAGCATCATATCGCAGAAGGAAAACATCTCATCACGTGGCCACATAGAGATTCACGTCTTCGCTCTTTTGTTTGCCGTTGTCACCAAACGCTTCTTCTACTCCAGCAGATGTTAACGGTCTGTTCTCTCTCTTTATGTGTGCCACATCTCTCTGTTCATTACGCGCCGCTTGCTTTGACGAAGGTGCAACGCGTTAGAGCAGATTTGAGAAAGCGTCTCAACGGCGCGCCTGCAGAAAAAACGCATGTGTGTGCGAGGCCTCCTCCTCCTCCCTGCGAGCTGCTCTGCTCTCCTCGAACCTCTCGAAGGAGCAGCTGTGAGGGAGGGAGAGGCTTTTTCACCGCCTGTGACGAAGATGGAAACTGTTGGTTGTGTGCTTTGGGCGACTTATCAATAATGGATCAAATTGGTAGGCAACATTAATTAGGGGAAAGATGAAGAGCTCGGGTTTTGGAGTTTGTGTACATGCGTGTGTTCCCTCCTCTCAGAGGATCCTGCGCTCGTGCTCCAGTCTGCATTAATTGTTTGACACTTTTTAATATGGAGTATGACAACTAGGGGTGACCGATATGTGCTTTTCTGGGACGATACTGGTTATCAGCAGACAAAAGGACCCATATATTAGAGTGATATTTACTGATCATAAAATTTTAATATTGTGATCTTAACCAGTGGCAACATATTGTAGCATGTTCAAGAAATGTTATTGACTTGTTAATTTCCAGTACATCCATCCAATTCTAATACATCCATATATTGCATATTGCACTAAACTTTGTTTGTACATCCGTACATATTACACAACTATCAACATATGGTTTACAGTGTTTAGTCACTTGGTTTATTCATGGGATGTGACATGCACCACTGCATTTTCACTAGCATAATATTTTTGTGATTTTACTTACTTATTCTCGTACTGCACATTATATGTTTTATGGTTGTTTTAGTATATTTTATTATATATCTTTACTTCTTCAATTTATGTAACTGTATAATAGTGTATGGCAATACTTTTGCTCTTGTTTTGCTCTTTACTGAACTTTGTGCTGCTGTAGTCGACTACTTTCCCTCTGGGATTAATAAAGTGATCTATCTATCTATGTGTCTATCTATCTATCTATCTATCTATCTATCTATCTATCTATCTGTCTGTCTAGGATTAGGGTTAGTTAATTATTCTACAGCATTTTTTGCCAGGTTATTCTATAATGACTTTTATTGTAAAGACAAGAGTGGATTTATATGTAGATCAGGAAGAACTAAGTCAGTCCAGCACTGACAGCAAAGAGAGATGTAGCAAGGCTAGAACGAACTGTTGTAAAATTCTGCTTGTGCACGGCGTTGCTGGGGCCAACAACAGCTGGTTAATAAAGCAGAATGAGTTGTGCATAAGCTGTGTCTCCTTTAATAGCTGTGAACATAACAATATATAAAGAAAATAAAAGTGGGCCCAGAACAGAGCCTTGTGGTACACCACGTCTACCAATGGAGCTGTGTGCATGAGTGACAGAGTGAAATTACAAGTAAGTTGTGAGGGTTCAACCAATCTATAGTGCTGTTTGAGAGACATTCAGACAGGCTAACAAAGCTTTGATTGGTTGTATTTGACACTTACTTATTTCGACCAATCCAGTGAGGCTGCAGGCGGGACATTAAGGCAGGAGAGATTCTGTCTGTGGTGGTTTGCGTTAAAGATTTGCATGCATCACATTCGCTTTTTATCTCAAGAAGTTAAAATGTTGTTTCCGATTATCAGAAAAATGATAAATACTGGATCTGATTATCGGCTGGCCTGATAATCGGTTGACTCTTAATGAAAATGTCCTGCTGGTGCAGGACCTAAAAGAGCAGTGTCACTTTAATATCTCTGTACACCTTAAAGTCAATTAGGAAAAGCTGAAAGAAACCTCATTTTTTTCTGACTTATCGTCTGGACCCTGATGAGTTCGAGTTCTCGGCAGAATTTTGTACGCTGACGTCTCGATCGAGTAGACTGATAGATCTCCGCAGCGAAATTGCGAACACTTTATTATTGGCTTAAAAGGTCTGATTGAATGTCTTTGATGCACTTGATAGAGGCCATTGACGCAAAGTCTGTTCTTTTGCAGAGACTCAATTTCTCTCCGCTTTCATGGCGGATTATTCTTCTTTTTTTTCAAGGCTTTTTATCTCCTCGTTTAATATCGGAGCAAACTGAGAGCCGGCGACGACTATTTGTGTTGTGAATTATGCAGCAATATAAATTTAATTAACCTAAAGGCGAAAGTTTCATCACATCGAAACATACATATTTAAATGGCTGTGATTTGCATGACTAGGACGAACGGAGGTGGCCGAAAATGTGGCCGCAGTTCAGTTTATTCCCAAACCACCTTCGGATGGAAAACAAACCACAATAGGAGAAAGCATAAGCGATTGTTTTAGAGCCTCTCAGCGATTCCCTCTGTTTCAATCCCAAAACACGCATTACAACGAGTACATTTAATTAGTGCTATCTCATCTCGGGTTTTTTTAATCCGTAGCTCCTGGCAAACATGAAGCTTAATGTGGTGGAAAATCGTGATTTTAGAGGAGATGAAATAATGATGCGAGTCTGTGGCTTAATCATGTTGACATATGCGATCTGTCCTCACTCTCACTCGCGTGTCTGTGTGTGTGTCCTGCAGGCAGCTGTTCGTTTGAGGAGCACTACAGTAAGTGTGGGTACAGCGTGGCTCTGGGGACCAATGGCTTCGCCTGGGAGCAAGTCAACACCTGGGAGAGGCCTACTATGGACGCTGCCGTTCCCACAGGTGCGTACATGCTGGGAATTATGCTCTCTCTTTCTGTTGGACTGCACCACTTTTTGACCTTTTTATCCATCACCATCTATTAGGGACCTTGATTTTATGTCTGATTCCCTTATTAATGAAACTACAGGCAGCAAAACGAGCCACATTTGTCTTTGCAGGCTGTATGTAGGCCTACACTTCAGTATACAACCGTATGTTTAACATATTGGCAAGAAAAATAAAACACATACAATATAATATGTATCATAACTTTTGCATAGACTGCATTTATGGTTTATCCCCCCCCCCATATGTCATTCAGCAAATAGGCAGTATTTGTGCATTCAGAATGTGCTGAAGTGTTTTTCTCCGTAGAGGTGTTCACTTATTCACACTTAGAAAATCAAAAACAACATGGAATTTGGGTGCCTACATTTTTGCATATGATTATGCTTGGCCAAATGTTTGTAGTCTCCAGTGTTTCCTCTGAAATGAAGGGTGTTAATGGGGCCTTTACTGCAGTAATAGCCTCTATTCTTCTGGGAAGGCTTTACAGTAGATGTTGGAACATTGCTGTGAGGATCTGACTGCACTCAGCATTCACAAGAGCATCATTACTTATGAGCTGAAAACCCAAACACATCTGTAGCAGCTGGACACCGAACAGTCCTTTCAGCACTTCACTGAGAAAGAAACAGCCAATCACAGTAAACATCATTTAAAAGCACTGTTATGAGACAGTTATGCTTTATTGAAATGATGAATGTTTGAAATATAATATATGAAATAGTCATATAGTAGAGGTGTGCAATATGGAAAAAATATAGTTTTGTGATACTTCGACATTTTCATTATACAAAATATGTCACTATATGTATTTTCTCAGACATCTGATCAGTTGGAGCTGAGAAAAAAGAACCAGCAGTGCTACATTTTAAAAAATGCTATCAAAAACAGTCAAAACAGTGATACTTATTTAATGTTTCACACACTGCATTGCACCAAATCCAGTTAAACGGGACAAATTTTGCTCTGTATAATGAAACATGCAGGTGGTCAGTATCTGCAAGTACTGGCGATAAACACTATGTTGAGACAAGCGTACCGTATTTTATTGTGACATAATTTATCACGATAACGATATATATTGTCATATTGCCCAGCCCTAATGTTTTCTACCACTCAGACCTGCATATTTATAGTTATTCACTGATCTCTTTAGCTCCTTTCATATCGGCCCTTTATTCTAGTCTATTGTATTTTTATTTTATTTGTCTCTTAATACTCTAAATACTAGTGTGTGTGTTTGTCTGGTCTGTTCAGTGTGTTATATGTCATGCATGGGTGAGTCACCAAGACTGATTCCTTGTATGTGTAACATACTTTGCGAAATAGTGATTCTGATTCTGATTCTGAAAACCAAGAAGAGCCTCTAGAACAGGTCCAAAACAGAATTAAAAAAAATCTTCAAAGAGAAATATATAGAGAAATAGAGAGAAAATGTATGTTTTAAATGCATTGTGCATAATTAATATTGCTCTGTTAGAAACATATAATTAACACAAGTAAGAGAATTCTCAAAATAGTCCGTAACAAGAATTCAAATACACATTACAATATTAACTCATCCCAAAGGTACTGGATGGAGCTCCATCACTCCAGAGTTCCACTGCTCCACAGCCCAATGCTGGGGGGCTTTATACCCCTCTAGCCCACACTAGGCATTGGGCATGGAGACCTTAGGATCATGTGCAGCTACTCCAGAGCGTCACATTCTATTGGTCAGTGCTTTATTATGGAGATTATACAAGTGTTAGCAATGGGACACCTTAAAGTAGCAATATGTCAGACAACACAAGTTGACGAATTAATACTCCACACTCCAAATAAACAGGGGGCAGCATATTACCAGAAAGTTATTGTAAGAAACAAGGAAATGCACAGTCCCCTCTCTAACTTAGCAAACATATTAACAACTGTAAACAATTAGCTACCTTTATATGCTATAGCTAAATAGCCAATGTTAGCATTAATAGCTCTTTACTTACCAGTCTAGAAGAAAATTTGCACATTTACCTTTACTCACCAAGAGCTCCAGCATTGAAAAGCAGCACCAGTGCTAACTCTTGTTCTGCTTCTATTTATGTCACTTCTTTTGTTTCGTTTTCTTGCTGGGACTGGGTGGCGGTGATGATGATGGTCACTTGCCAAGAGCTTCAGCCATTGTTGCATTCACTGTTCCTTTCATTGGCTACCTGTTCTTAAATGGTCTAACTGGGGGTGGGACCTTCAACATGATTGACAAGAGGCTAGAATATACCCTCAGGGCAGCACTGCCTCTTCATCCTGTGACGCAACCAGACGAATCAGACGCTTGCAGTAAAAATCAAAAGGAGAGGCTTCATTGTCAAGGGCTTGGGCGAAACTCAAGGTTGTAAAACAGGCAAAGGTCAAATCCGAAAAAATCCAAAGACAGAAAAGAAACACCATAACAACCAGGCAACCAAATCCAAAGGGGCAGAGACAAGCAGACAGTCGAAAAACTCCAGGCAGATGAAACAGTAACAAGAAGGCAATCAGAAAAACGCTCAGTAGCTCTCACTCAAAGAGGCAGTACCTCGCAAAGTGACTCGTCTAAAAGCCCGGGCTTTACTCTAAATCTAACTAGACACATGACAGAACAGGTGTACAAGATTAGTATTCAGGAGAATGAGATCGATGATGGCGCGCTGAGAAGAGTCATCGGCCATGTGATCCCCCAGAGGGTTCTGGGAGATGGAGTTTGTGAGCGTCTCAGGGCCGGAGGGATGCGTGACACATCCTCTCACGTTGGACTGATGGCAGACTCGACACTACAGTGACTCATTGTCGTCTCTTGAGGTACAAAGTGGTATTACGAGACAGGAGGGGCTGGGGCTAGCTGGTTAGCGTGCTAACTTCAGTAGATATCTCTGCAACATGATACATCGTCTTTCACATAACATCAAAAATGTTCTGTGAAATTTTGGAATGTTTTAAACCAAAAATCGATAACAAAAGAATCAATATGTGGATTGTCCACTTTAGATGCTTTGTAGATACTTAATTCAATTTCAAGTTACATTCAGCTTTCTTTAACCCTAAACCTGCTCTAATCCTAACCCCAATCTTAATCTCAACATACCTAAACCCCACCCTCACCCTGGTCCAAATCCTAACCTTAACCCCAACACTGTTTAGAATCTTCAACAGAGTTTCAACAGAGAGTTTGTTCACAATTTGAACATCTGTATGTCTGTATATAGTCTATAGGGACTATAGTGGACTATCCAAATAAAGTGAGACCAAAAATCTTACAAATTGCTCCTTTTAAGTAGCTGAATTCACTCAGTAGAGCATTCAGTGAGCTTTATTCACATCCCAAAATCGTAACGCAATAAAAGTAAATTGATAGTGATTACTATCTTGTGGTCTTTTCCCGAGTTGAATCTTTTCTCAATCTCATCAAGACTCCCTCTTTCTCTCCAGGCTGGTTATACTGAGAAGACTCTCTCTCTCTCATGCTGTGCTCAGTAGGCCAGCTCTCTCGAAGTCTGCCCCTCTGTGTAGCTCCGTTTTTGGTTCACAGTCAGACAAATGGCAATCAAGCCCGCTGTCACTCTCACTCAGCCGTCTCCTATAGCGCTCAACAGCTCTGCGCCGCGCCGCGCCCCTTAAAGCCAATAGAGTCGGCCTCCGAGCTCCATCTTCAGCTGCTAGCTATCTTAACCTCCCTCAAATGACTGACGCTCTGCCCTGACACTTCACCGCTACAGGAGATTGCCTACGCGCTCTGTGGTGAGGACAGAGGCGAATGCGGGCGCGTCCCAGTAAAGGGTGCCATTCGAGACGCAGGGCGCTGTAACAGGGCCATATGGGGACTCATATTTGTACGGTAGGTCTATTATCTGTGAGTTGAAGATCAGCCCTTGACCTTTCCCAGAAGGCAGGGCGGGTTTGTGGCGTAATGGGATACAGGATACGAGGCCTTGTCGCAAAAATCGAGGACATCAGCTGTCACGAAATGAAACCAGGCCAAAAAACATCAAAGTCTGTTAAGGGGAGCAACAAGCAGACCGTGTTTGATAAAAATATGCAAGCGCTTATTAATAAATTAACAACAGGAAAGGCACCATCTGCCCGCTTGTTGAAGTCATCGCTATCTGATTGTCTAATCAAGGGTGGTTTGGATGGGGGGGTGAGGGGGGGTTGTTAGTGGGCCACTCCGTCACTCCTGTGGAGACACAGTGCCTGCAGACTGTCTCTCTGATTGAGTCTGTCTGGCTTTTAATACAGAGCTACTTGAATTAGATGCCAGAGACCTGATGGAGGAGGCTGGAGACAAAGGGAGAGATGTCAGAGAGACGCGAAAGAGAGAGGCTGTCTGAAAGGAGGAGGGATAAAGAGGAGAAAAAGATGGCTTAGCTGGGAAAGAGGGCTGTTAATATATTCTTGCACGACAGGTAATGTAGCCTGTCGAGCTCAGGTTCAGCACGGTCCATCCGACCTGTTTTGGAGAGAGAAAGAAACAGCCTAAACATGTGAATGATTCATGTTACACATATCTACTGAGCGTTAATACAGGCAGCGCTGGAAACACAGTAATACATCTATTGATCCGGCACAGCTCGGTTCCAGCAGGTCACTGTGAGCTCTACAGTGATGTCAGTGATCCAGTTTCAGTTGTGTCACTCTCTCCCTTTATTCCAGCTTCCATTCTGTTCAGGAGACTCACTTTCAGTTCCTCAAAGAATCTGCAGACACACCTCCAAAGTTCAGTCTTAGAAGCTGGTTGATCATTTTCTGAAGTAATCAAACACATTCAGTGGTGTTGAGTCTGGACTCTGGGGTGGTCAGTCCATCGTTCAGCTTCTTTGTTTGATGTGTCCGTCTCCTTTTCTCAGTGAGGTTCTTCTTGACAGCTACACATCCTTTCAGACCCACAGCGCTGAGTCGTCTTCTCACAGTGGAAGGATGGACAGAAACACCTGTGGATGTTTTCA